GCTTCCTGTAGTCAGCCCCTGGTCAGTTTCAGTGGCAGCAGCTGAATCTGGAGCCAGTTCCGACTTAAATACAAATTCAACTTAAGAACAAACCTATAGTCCCTATCTTGCACGTAACCCGGGGACTGCCTGTACTTTATTTTATCCCATGGTTCCTTCCTTTTTAAAAAATCTTCTCTTGTCCTTTGTCCTTGCTCGCTTGGTTGGGTTTTTCTGTCTGTCTCTCCTTACTTTCTTGCAGCTGAATCTGGAGCCAGTTCCGACTTAAATACAAATTCAACTTAAGAACAAACCTATAGTCCCTATCTTGCACGTAACCCGGGGACTGCCTGTACTTTATTTTATCCCATGGTTCCTTCCTTTTTAAAAAATCTTCTCTTGTCCTTTGTCCTTGCTCGCTTGGTTGGGTTTTTCTGTCTGTCTCTCCTTACTTTCTTATCACAGACACCACTTTTTCTTTCTTCTGCTGTTCCTTAGCCTCCTTCTCTGCTAAGAAAACAATAAAGGACGAATTTGAAAGACACTAGAAAAACAACAGACTAAAATTAGCAAGCAGCCTCTAATCTGTAAAGGGACAGAAAGATAAAAATAAACTTGACTTCTTGGACCATCATCTTGGGCTTGTGGATTTAGCATTTAATTTCTCATTATGGAAACAAATGCTTAGTAAATTAATCATTGTACCACCTGTCCTACTCTTCTTATACCTGTTGCACTTAAAGTCATTTCAAAAACTATATCAGGATGGATTTCTTTAGCTCCTTAATCCAATAAGAAGAAATATTCAGGAATACATTGGTTTCTTCTTAGGACACATTTCTCAACTTGTCAATTAACAATTTCTATAAAGCAGTCGAGATCTGATCTGATTTCCCCGTTTGCTATATTTCCTCTTAAATAACTCATGTACAGAGATATTGCTATTAGTTCTGCTGGTGTAGCAGATCAGAATTTGGCACTGAAAGTCTAAACCTGCAGTGCATTCATGCAGGGCTCCACTCACTTCAGAACCTGATGAAAGGATTTCAGCCTACTGAGTAAGAACTGTAGGATTTGGCTCTTAAAACCCTGCATTTGCTTCATCTTGAGCTGCATCCAGTTGCAGGGAAGAATCAGATTATTTTAATTTAATTACACTTCCTTCCTAATAAATTGGGTTATTCACCTACTTTGCAGCCACAGCAAAATCAGGTGGAATTCTGATTAATGAAGATATTTGTCATGCTTGTTAAGTGATATTTTTCTACAGGAACAGATACTTGGGTGGTAAAATTAACTAGAATTTTCAGGGGTCACCATGGTAATTAGTTACCGTTAATTAACTGGAGCCAATGTCACATTCTTTACCTTTTACTTCCAGATAACTATCTTGGATCCCAACTCTCAGTGATAACCGTCTTCTGCAATTTCTTGTGCTCATTGGCACTTGGCTAAGGCTGACAAAACCTGAAGAGGGGTTTAATCCAACAGCTTTAAGGCGTCCGTTCCAGAGATTAATTAAATGTTTGAGACATAAATCAAAACCAGAACATTCTGACTTTTTGATGTATTTTGCAATTACTGATTAATGCTTTTTTTCCTCCTGCAGAAAGCTAACGGTTTGTGAAATTTTGGAAAAATGATGACAAACTGAGAAATGCAATCTGAAATTCCTGTTGAATGGTAAATATAGAGAAACCAATACAAATGGGCAAATTTTCATAATAGATTTTTGCAAAACTATAAATGATGTTTTGATATGATAAATGTTTTAATTCTTATCCATTGTCCTTGTAAATTGCCACCGTACATTGTTTAAATGGTGGTAAAATTATTATATTAGTTATTACTTTCTTTGGAGATTGAGCCACATCCTTGTCCAGTGTCATTTATCATAGATCTCTTGGTGTCAAAAGTAGATACAATGATTTACACTAGGTCATAGTGTAGTCCTCACTGTTCTACCAGACATTTTTTTCTTGAACTTGACAATGATCAGTTGCAGTAATCTACAGTAATATATGAATAATATAACATACTTTTTTCAAATCAGAGCCACTTTATCTTTCTTTTTAGATTTAGATTAGACACTACACTAAAGATTTTAACTGAATAACATCACAAGGATTATTCACTTCCCATTCAACATCAGTTGTTAGTGTAGGGTAAAATGGTTGCTCTAAATTGTTTTGAAGTTGTGACGGATATCTGGCTTAATTTCCAAGTCAAGCATGATTACAATCCTGTGTCTTCCAAACATAGATTTCATTGAACTAATTTAGCCTTTACAGCCAAAAGAGTAAGAGCCATGTCAACTGACAACTTTTCTGTACAGCAACATGTTTTAGGATGATTATTATGTTGCATCTGAATGCATGCTCTGTGCTGTCATACTGGCTAAGCTAAGCCTAAAAATATTAAAAAGATGTAAGAGGGTAAAATGATTGCACGAACTGTCAATGTGGCTTATTTAATGGCTTCCTCAAATGCGTCAGGACTGGGATTCAGCTGAAAGCCCGTTGTCCGCTGCTGTGGCACTCCTCTCTACAAGCAAAATCTCACTAAGTGTTAGTAAAGATAATGTGTTTCAGGCTAAGCTCTACGGAAACTTGTGTAAAGCCATTAGAATGTATCAATTCTGCTTGAGCTAGACTTTTAACAATAAAATGCAGAATAATATGTTCATTATTATACCATATCATCCAGATTATACTAGAAGACAGAACAATTATGGACAAAAAGCGTTAACACACATATAGATTATACTAGAAGACAGAACAATTATGGACAAAAAGCTTTAACACACATATATAGACAGCTAAGAATAATATACAGTATCCTAAACCATAAGAAAACCCTGTCACTTAAGGGACATTGTTTGGGCCCACCAAAATATTTTAATTAAAAGAGGGTAAATGCCACAGCTCTGGATGGTGTAGAATGAGGACTATGCAGCACTGTTTAAAAACAAACACTTCTTCTGTCAGCAGCAAGCCAAATGAGAGGTTGTATCTGTGTTGCTAAAGATCAGTATTTTATTAAATCTGAACTACTGATGCTTTTAAAAATCTACCAGTAGTAGAGCCATTTTCCAGGATGTTGTGTGGGTTTCTTTAATTTTGGAACTGGGCAAATACTGTAAAACATTACTCTGAATATTGGGATGATGTTTATATAAATACACCTTGATTTCGCTTGGCATCCTGTGATGAGATACAGTATTCTGCATACAATGTTCCTCTAAACTAGTAACTGTCACCAGTTGACTTATATATATTTGCCCTTAGACAATAATTTCAGAAGGCAACATTACATGAGGGATGGCAACCACGAACAGTGGGTGGGCTGCAGGAGTGCCTTACTTCACATCAGTTGCTGTCATAGCCCGTTGCTGACTGGGTTCCAGGTGCAACCCCATGTCCCTCCTATTAGTCTCCCCAACATGCCTCTTGCGTACCGGAGCCCTGCACTTACCTGCTTCTTCCCCTCCTCCCAAGTGATTTGCAGCATTTCACCTCAGGGAGGAAAGGGGATGGAGCATGAAACAGGCAATTTGTGGTTTCTTGAAAGTGCTAGGAGGGAGATGGAGGAGCAGGAAGTGTGGGGTTGTGGTGCCCTGGTGAATGGGGGGAGGAGGTGAGGAGGCAGTCAGGGGGTGCACAGGCTGCAGGTGGAGCCCCAATGAGCTGCTTGTGGGATGCAGGTTGCTTAACACTGCATTATGCCCATAACCAAGAGTAACTGAGGCCACATCTCCACTTTGAGGAAGATTGACACTGCTGAGATTGAAATTCTGGAGTTTGATTTAGTGAGCCTAGTTAAGACTAGCTCAATGGAACTCGGAAGGTGACCCCACTAGTTGCCGGTACTCCTGCTTTTGCAAGGAGTAAGAGAAGCTGACAGGAGCATTTGCTCCTGTTGGCCTCCCCCTGTGGGGATGGCAGGGAGAGCTGAAACAAGGTATGTCAGTTCTTACTCTGGCCTCACTAGTACAGATCCACTACCCATGCATAAAGTGTTTTTTTTCTGCCTGCAGTGTAATGGAAAAACATGGCAGCCTGCTGCTTGCGCGGTACCTGATTAAACCTACGGGAGAGGTCTGTGTTTGAATGGCACTTAGGTTACACCAAATTAGTTAAATAGTTACGTGCAAATCTGTCACCACATACTTAATTGCTTTTCTGGACAGGGTCTTAGTCAAGCATCATATGAACATGCACAGGCACTATAGCAGAGATCCTCAAAGGTATGTGTCTGAACTCCTATTGAAATCAATAGAGGCTAGGTGCTTAAAAACCTGTGAGTACCTGGACCTATAGTCTTCCCCCATCTGGATTCATGTTTAACACCCATTTACATCAGTATCAGTTGCCATGGTGAGTCTTGAAAAAAAAAAAATGGAGATCTTGTTCCATAAACTAAATAATGTGGATAGCAAACACTGAGTTCCATTTTTAACCTGTGAAATGACTTTTCTGGCTAATGATAACAGATGAGAGCAAATGAAAGTAAGAACGTGCTGAGGTACATTAACATCACTCTGAGTGGCTGCAGGCAACAAAGTGTCAGTGTGATTGCGTGTTATGAGTGTAAGTGCAGCTACTGTAAATGAGGTGATTGAATGTTGTCTACGGTAGGTCCTATTTTCTTACGTTTTTCATATTATCCAATGGGACAATTGTGACATCCTGCAACAAATATCCATGTTTGCGGGTTCCTAATCTACAAATAGCAGCTATTTCATGTTATCCCCAGACAGTTTCAGTGTCTGGGCAATTTGCTAGCCACATTTGTCTAATATGAAGAATTTTGAGGTGCTTCAATAGTAAAGCACCTTTTGGTCAGGACAGATTTTCTTTCTTTCTTTGGGTGTGTTTACACTACCCCGCTAGTTCGAACTAGCGGGGTAATGTAGGCATACCGCACTTGCAAATGAAGCCTGGGATTTGAATTTCCCGGGCTTCATTTGCATAAACTGGGCGCCGCCATTTTTAAATCCCTGCTCGTTCGAACCCCGTGCCGCGC